GCTAAAAGGATTAGGTAGCAGGGGACGTGGAAGATTCTGGAGATCCACTGCCAGTCAATACTGACATAGATGGACCAATGGTCTGATTCAGGATAAGACAGCTCCATATGTTCTACGTAACAATCTCTATGTTTATAATCACTTGGTCTGATCATAGATTGCCTTAAAACTGTTCTGCAATGAAAATGGAAGTTTTGGTGGCCAAACTTGCTTAACATAACAGCCACAAAGAATAAACGTTAGATGTTTGAGAACCGCAAGACATGAACAAATATTACACACACATTTTTATTGGAAAATATGCAAATTTGCTTTTTATTAACATTGAATTAGAGTGTGTGAAAGATCCACATGCAGCTCCCAAACTGCAGTTTGGCCACCCCTGAATCATTTCCTTGCCTATTACACCAAATTCTTACGTTTCTATTGTTAGATCTTTGAATATTGAATGTAAAATGGCATTTTTTTTTGTTTCTATCCTATCTGCAAAATGCTCTCATGGGCTAGGGTAGCCAATTCCAGATTGGGAAATCTCTGGAGATTTGCAGGTGGTGCCTGGGAAAGGCAGAGTTTGGGGAGGGGAGGGGGCTCAGAACCGATGTTGCTTTCATAGGAGAAATTGAAGTCCCAGAACATCTGTCCTCTGTAGTCACTCTGCTTACTGCCCTCTGAAGCTGCAGTTTTCTCCAGGGGATAAGCTGTAATACTGAGAGAACCCCAGGCTCCACCTGGATGGTGGCAACACACTATCATGGGCCCAAAGGTGTCCAAGAAATACATTCCATCAGTATTAAAGAGCGGGATCACAAATTCCAACAGAGGTAAATAGGTAAGTACACTGCAAAACAAAACATGCTTACTGCAACAGGGAAATATCAGGAGATTTGAGGGGTGAAGCCTGAGGAGGGCAGGATTTGGGGAGGGTCAGCAGAGTATAATACTATGGAGTCCAATCTTCAAAGCAGCCATTTTCTTCACGGGAACTGATTGTCTGGAGATCAATTATAATAGTGGAATATCTCCAGGTGCAACGTAGGCGTTGGCAGCCCTATCTAAGAATAGGTTGAAGGATTGCCATTGTTCACAGGTCATTGGTAACCAATGGAACCCATGAAGCGGGTTGCTTGAATTCTTGCAACAAATTCTAAACTGCTCCAGCAAGATACGCCTTCAGTTAACATGAACTAGTGTGTCTTAGTAAAATCTTGATATCTTTGTAAATCGTGCGCCCGTGCGTGCTTAAATCAGTCCGCCTCCGCTTTATATGAAAACGGTTAAACAGGTGTTCTGATGAGAAGCCAGAGGGTTTCTAAAGTGGCATCCTGGATTGGAGTGAAATTCTCGGCCGGCGTGAATTATTATAGAACTTCCAGTGTGGGTTTGAAAGCCAGCTGCACCACAGCGACGAAAGTTAGAATAGCTCACAGAGCCACAAAACAAAACAGCGCCTCAAAGAAAGGAGAAAGAGAGTGCGCAGCGCAGCCCCTCCTCATTTCCTTTTTCTTCCCAAGCTGGCAGGCCCTCCCCTCAGAGGCAGCCGGGCTGGGCGGGGCTGGGCCGCTTTTCCTCCGCCTGGGGGTCGGTGTATTTGGAGTCCGAGTGACGCTCATGAAGTGCAGCTGTTGTTGAGCGTCGGAGATGTGATGTGGAGTTTGGGTTCAGGCGGCTGCGACGTTCGTGTGGTGGAGCCTTTTCCCGCGGCTGAGACGGGATATGGCGAATGTCAAAGTGGCTGTGCGGGTCCGGCCTCTGAGCAAAAGGTGGGGCGGTGGCTGTGGGGAGATTGGGGGGGGGGGAAGAGACGTATAGACATGTATATACATGTGTGCAGACACGGTGAAGAGCACGCCTTTTCTACGTAAACGGTAGTTTGCATCATAAGGATGTCCCGCTGGGCTCGAGCGTGTGACCGTTATGTTTTCTCCTGAAAGTTGTGTTTAGCTATGCACTGCTGCCAGATAGCCATGTGCTGGCTGCGATGCCAACGGGGCGGGCGGCCGGGGGGCTTGGAAAGCAAAGGGAACGAATGCCAGACTGTGATGGCAAAAATAGGTTGTGCTCCAGATCCTGTTCTTTGCCACAGTGGTGTGACATATATACTTTTCCTAGCCCATTGCTGTGGGATGGTCCATAAAGTATTTCATGTATTGAATTGGAATGTGTGGTGAAAATAAAAGTGTGACGTCGATAAAAGTGTGGTGAAAATAAAGATGTGACATTGATAAAAGTGAGTACAGCGTGATAGGTTGTTGCAGTAGTCAAAATAATCTTTACAGAGTTTGATGTGGGCTATTTTTGTTCAAGTATACTCAGAAGTGAGTTTATTGGATCTTACTACTGATGAAGTGTGTGTATCATTGCTTCATAAACGATGGTTCGTCTGTATGATACACTTGTACTCCTTTGGAATTCTTTCTTATTTGTGATTACATTTTACTTTTAATTCATGTGTGAGCTGAATCATATAAGGGTTTTGTGCAGTTGTGAATGTGTTGTATGAGATTTAAATGATTTCCCTCAAGAAGGTATTTCTTTTCACCACATGACCTGTAGTATTTTGTTCCTAAGAAAATGTAATTTAACAGCTAGCACATCCATTGCTTTTCTGTGTGCTATGTGGGAGTGGGCTGCACAAATGCCCTAAGTATTAATTGTGACATTACTCAAGATGAGCAACAGAAATCTCCCCCATGCTGTATCATGATTTTTGTTGCTGTTTATTTTATGTCATTGGTTGCCATGCTGTCCTAAGGATTTCAGTGCTGGAGTGTTCAACAAGTACTAGTTTGTGACACTAATAGTTTGAAAAGAAGTATGTAGTTTCTTTTTTTCCATAGCCCTAGCCAATTTCAGAAAACCAAGTGAAGGTGTTTTTTGTGTGTACTGTGTGCTCCATTGTTGTGCCAATTTCCTCATTTTATTTTATGAGTGCATGATTTGGCATTATTAATACTATGCTAGACACTGAGCTGCAGACTGGAAGGTCTGTAGTTCAGCAGTTCAAGACCCTAGTGCCACAGGACAGAGTGAGCTCCCATCTCTGAGCCCAGCTCCTGCCAACCTAGCTGTTCGAAAGCAAGAAATTGCAAGTAGATAAATAGATACTGCTTCGGTGGGAAGGTAACAGCGTTCCGTGCACCTCGATGTTTAGTCATGCCAGCCACATGATCACGGAAACGTCTTCAGACAGTGCTGGCTTTTCAGCTTGGAAATGAGCACCACCCCCTAGAATCAGATTTGACTAGCTTTTGAGCAAGGGAAACCTTTACTTTACCTTTAGAGATACAGACAAAACGCCTCAAGATCATAGCCTGAAATACCTTTTCCTGCCTTCTTTCTCCCTTCTTTACTTTTGTGTATTACATGACTTTTGTTTCAAGGCCAAATGTGTTTTTCTTGAAATGTCTGGAAAGGCCAAGACGGCAGTCTGCAATACTGAATGAATTCATGATACTCCTTAAGAGGCAGCTCTTAGGATAGTTGGAAGTTAGCTGTGAATTACCTCTTATCTTGTTATGCTGGTGGAAAGTGATTTATCCTATGGACATACAAGAAGTCCATGCCTCGTTGCAAGTTAAGCTATTCTAATTTTGTGTATTCACACGTATGCTAATTTTGGCTTATACTATTGGCTAAATGCTTTTTACCAAGACTTAGACTTACCAATGATGTGCTTTTCCTACCTTTTGTCCATTAAAAGACAAGCTGTTAGCATGTGGTTAGTTTTACCTTTGTGCAATCAGTGTAATAAAACATGCAAATATGCAGTTCTGTGTTGCTTGTACTCAGTAATGGAGATCTTCTTGTTTTTAAACACTGGAATCACTAGTATTTTATCATGGTTAGTTTTACCCTAGCGTAGTAATCACATGCATCCCCAGTCTTATCTTCAGTAAGGCCTATATAGACTTTATGGGCTGAATTTGTGTTTATTAATATCACATGCTATCTCTATTGCTGAACATTTACAGAACTGTAGAGTCAGTTCTCACAAATACTGGAGAGAGTACTGTTTGAGCTTGTATGTGCTTGCGTATAACAAAAGATAATTAAAAACATGTGTACAGTGGAAGTCTGGGGAGGATGGGAAAGAGAGTGAAAAACTGGAACTGTGCAAAATCTAGAAACTAATAACTCCTCCTCTGGAGAAAAGAAGAATAGCAAGAGAGTAATGGGGACTAGAAATTTCAATATATTCCCTGTCAAGGTCTTCATTTATTGAGGTAACTTCCTTGATTTTTTTAAAGGCCTGATTCTGTCATGGATTCTTCCATTCACCTTTTAAAAATAAATAAACATTTATGTTGTAGGCAAAATGATTTCAGAAGAGTTGCTTAGCTTTTGAACAAATTAAAAATATATTCTTGCATACCTGAACCATGCAAAGTCCATCATATCCCTTGCTGATTTATCCTCTAGTCATTGGCAGGGTATCCTGCATATCCTAACATTCTCATTTAGTGCCTGAAAGGGCCAACTGAAGCATGAATGCCATTTCTTGCAAGTTTGTGTGGTAGTTTAGAGCTAGGCACTGAAAGGTGTAGGGAGCATGAAATCCTGCAGGTGGATATGTATGACTGAAGGGGAGAAGCTTAGGTTGTGTTGGTACAAGTATGTCTGCATTATTTGTTATTATATTTTAACATTTTAAAGCTGTATTTCCACCCAGTTTAAGGGTTCCCAAGGTAGTAAACAATAAAAACATTTAAAATAAGATTAAAATACAAAGAAATATACATTAAAACAAAATATTTGATTCAATAAGAATCAGTGAGGAAATGCCAGACAAAACAGAAAAGTCTTTACCTGCTGGCAGATGACAGAAAAGGGTAAAAAGGAACAGATGAATCTCCCTGGGAAAGGGATTTCATAACTTTAGTAACATAATTTAGAAGGCCCTTTCTTGGGGTTGCTGTCTAGCACCAAGTGGCAGGAACACCAGAAGCAGGGCTTACGAAGATGCCTGTAGAGGTCAGATAGATTTGTATGGGAGTAGGTAGTCCTTGAGGTATGCTGGCCCCAAGGTATCCTTGGCTTTTATCGTTCAATACTAGCAACATGCATTGGACCCAGAAGCAAATTGGGAACCAGTGTGGATTGGACAGGAGAGATATAGTCCCTATGACCCACTCCAGCCTGTTCTGGCTGCAGCAGCCTACAACATTTGTAACTTCCAGATCCTTTTCAAGGGCAGCCCCACATAGCGCTCATTGCAGTAGGCTAATCTGGATGTTGCCAGGGCATGCTTCATTGTGCAAGATCTTTTTTTTTTTTTTTGCCCAGACAAGACCGTAGCTCACTCACCAACTGAATCTGGTACATTTGAGAATATAAGGGTTACACCCTGATCTGGATACTCCAGGCAAGCCCGATCTCAGAAGGTAAGCAGGGCCAACCCTGGCAAGTACTTGGACGGTAGTCCTTCAAGGAATACCAGGGCTGTGACACAGAGGCAGACAATAATAAACCACCTCTCTGAAATGTCCAAGCCCCACTAGTGGTTGCCAGAAGACAACCATGTCTTCAAGGCATACACACACACACAATACTCACAAAAAAAGGAAAGAAAATATAAGGGTTGCCTCTGACAGTAACTTAAAAATGTAAATACGTAGTTTTTGAAGGGCTTCACATGTCAGTTTTACTACAAAAACTCATTTGTAGCTTTGCCAAACATATGTTTGTAGTTGGTCTTCCAAAGGTAAGAGGCAGCTGCAGCTTCTTAAAAACTAAGTTTTTATATGTGCAGTTGTGATGGCCTATTTTTTTAAAGGGTTTTTAAAGGGTTTTTTGAAGCCTAGGAGCCAGAACCTGTGCAGAAGATGATCCAGATATCTCTGGGAAGCTTATAAGTAGGATACGAGAGTAAGAGTGCCCTGATGATTCCAACCCCCGATTGCTAGCATTTACCTGTATATTGTCTATGAACTACTGTAGGAACCTCCATGGGTGGGATGGGTTAGAGCAAGCTGGAGGAGCATTAGATTGGGTGAACAGAGGGGAGATGTTTTAGGAGTGGCTTTAGAAAGTGGGTGGGACTTGTAGTACCCTTACTTATTTGATGCACCAGCTACGTCTGCTAGGAAGGGGTTGCTCATCTTGGAGAGGCAGAAGTCAGTGATCCGGGGAAAGGGCTTAATTAGAGTGCTGCTCAGGGCATTTTATTTATTTAGAGATTTATATCCCACCCCTGTTCCGCAACGTGTGGCTCAGGGTGGCTCACAACATTTTAAGATACAACAATATTATAAGGATCATTCATCATTAAACAGTTAAAATGTTGACATTCTCCCAGTACCTAGAAAATATTCAGAAGAGAAAACACCTTGCACCTTAAGATCTCGTATGTGAGGATGATGGGAATGGCTGACTGAGAACAGCATATGAAGCATTTACAAATGCTGGATCCCTTCCCTTGTGGGTGGAAGTGAGTACAAAGGTCCCAAATTAGTCAGCATTGGCAAGGGCTGAAGATACAAGTTGATTTGGCTGTGCTTTTGCTAAATGTGGATGTTCCAACTTTTAGAATTCTGCCCTGTCTTAGCATTTGTCTTAAGCAACTTAAACACTGTTAAAGAAATTCTTGCCACCAGTGTGTCTGCGAACTGTTACACTGTAAGAGCCACAGGAATGGTCTGATGAGGGGGCAGTAAGAGAAAGGGTGCAGTGTTGGGCAAGTGTAATAGAAGGAATGGCCATTATCAGACTAATTTTTTTTCTGTACTAAATTCAGAATATATAGGCCCCTGCCACAGGGGGGAAAAAAGGACGGGAAAAGTGCGGTTTTAAAAAGCCGCACCAAAATAGGCACACCGCGGCGGGATCACATTGATCCCACATTCCCTCCCCGGCACGATCAGATGCCAGGGAAAGCCACGGTGGGGAACGGGAGACTGCTGAACTGCGCATGTCTGAGCATGCGCAGTTCAGCCAGGAGCCGGGGATGTGCCGGCAGAAGGACGCGCCGGCGATCCCACATAGTACACTTTCTGTACTATCTTCCAATATATATATCAAGTATGTATGAGCCAGTTTGGTGTAGTGGTTAGGAGCATGGAGTCTAATCTGGGAGAACTGGGTTTGATTCCCTACTCTTCCACATGCAGCTGCTGGGGTGATATTAGGTCTTGATGCGGCCGCGCTGGAAGAACCACCTCGGTAGGTGGTTTATTTTTGCTGCACCTTTTCAGGGGTCGGGACCAATCGGGGACAGGTGCGCACCACTTCCCAGATGTTGCGGTGAGATCACGCCCGTTTGCTGCGGCCCCAATCCGTCCCTCTCCCGGGCCAAACCTTTACATGTGACCGGGGCCATAGATGAGATTTATGTAAAAGCTAGAATAAGCTGTGATAATTCTGTAATGGCAAATGTGAATCTTACTTTAATCATTTTGGGATGAAGACTGCAGTTTTGGAGCCTTGTTAATGATTAAAAACAACCCTAAAGTGTAGTGGAATAGCAGCATTAGATATAGTTGTCACTAGAAGCTGCATAATAAAAATGAAACGTAACATAGTATTGGAAGCGATTCTGAGTAGACCTGGGTTGCATCCACACATATTGTGCTATCATTGTGGAACAGCAATAATTTTCAACTGAATCTTCCTATGTGGCCAAACAGTCCAGTTGTAAGTTATCAGTATAGTGCAACAGTAGCAAAATGACTAATGATTTGTGGATGCAGCCCTGCTTAGGATTGTTCCCTGATACATCTATATTGCTAGAAAGTATTTATTTGAGGTTATCACTGTTTCTATGTTCTTCTGCCCTTTGAAATCTAAATTCAGAATATGTGTTGGTGTGTCACTTAGTGAAGTAATCATTCTCCTGATTGTATTTTCTGACTTTAAAGCCATTTGTCTTTACACAATTTTCACTATTACAAAAGTAGTATTACAGATTATTACATAGCAATATATAGAAACATGGGGTTGTATCCAGCCACTCTGCTTACCTAGGGGTAGCAGATTCATTCAGTGTAAGGAGCTTTCAACTGATGCCCAAGGTTCTTCTCCCAGTGGAGGACCCTACTGCATTGGCAGAAATCTCCTTGCATCAACAGAATGCCCTACAAAATGGTAGAGTATACTCCACAGTTTTGGGGGTGTTGTTGATTTGAATCAGGGTGTTAATTACATGCTTAACTCTCCATTTAAACCAGTGGCACCTGTGCTTTTATCTAAGTCATAACATTTAACACAGATCACTAGAGGTACACAGGTACCGTGCAGAAAAAAATTGCTTATGTTGGTTCTCTTTGTAATATTTATACTTTTGTATTATTTTCAGAGAGCATGCAGAAGGAAGAAGAATAATTGTAGAAGTTGAAGACAAAGTGGCAAAAATTAGAAACATAAAGGTACAGTTTATTTTAGGTTTTTGAAAGACTACAATCCCTGTTATAATAATTTGAGTGACTGCCATATGATGGCGTATACTAGAGTAGAGGCAGTAAGATCTTGAGCCAAATTGACATTCAGCCAATAATTTTGCTGAGCTACCATTATTTATAAACTTCCTTACAGGGTTGTTGTTTCCCTTAGCTTCTTGGGGGAAGGACTCAATACAAATGTAATAAGTAGAATAATTGTGAATAGGTCATGATCGGGGAGCTCTCAGTTTCTGAGAATGACCTGTGTACCATCAGCTAGAACATACAAAGAGTTCCTTTAGTCTGAATGGCTAGATTTCTATTGATTGCATATAATTCCATGCAATGTTCATGTTATACGTCCAGTGATGGGACCTACCATGGACTTGCAGGTGTAACTCATCTCAGCTGAGGCAAGGTGTAGTCTTCTGAACTCAGTTTTGGGATCTGGTGCAAAAACTTCTTCAAAAGGAAATATAGCTGGTGCATATATGGCGGCTTTCCCCCTGAATTCCGCTTTGAAAATATATTAACCAAATCTCCAAACTATTTTTTTAACCCACTGTGGGGCTCTGTTTTGGTCCCTTTTGAGAAAGTAACTCAGAAAAAAAAATCAGGTGCATATGTGCCTTTCTGGGTTTTGGCCCTAGAATGGACCGGATATTAGGCTGATAAAAACAGGCTCTGTGTTAATGGATCAGAGTAGTCTTAAAGATCTTCAGTTCCATATGTGAAATTGAGCATACAGGTGGCCAAAAAATGTCAAAACCTGGAATTAGCTGTATTACTAGGACGTTTCCTGTATTTAAAAAACTTGTAGTTCAGAACTGTGGAAAATTTGTTGAAGTGACTTTTTTTATATCCCAGAAGCAAGCTTAAAAATAAAACAGGAAGGAAATACAAAGGAAAAACAATTGGCACAGATTCTGACTTCCTTATAGAGAAATATCTGAGAATCTTTTAAATTACATTACATGCAAAATTAATCTTATGGCAATGCTGTTATTGTTTTTATCTCTGTACTTCAGTTAACATGCCTTCATTTTGTCAAGGCTGTCATTCTTTTGTTAGTATGTTATGGTTTTGTTAGTAACCATAGGATAAGCAAATAGTCCCAAACATCTGGTTAACTTTCTCTTCCCTCCTCCTAATTGAGTCTAATATTATTGCAGCTAATTTCTGGGAAATTTAACAAATATGTGGTGAGCTACAGTTAACATTGTGATGAGTGATTGGCTACATTTAGAATTGACTTTAGACTGCACATCCTTTCCCTTTGAGATTCTTGGAGACTTCCTTTATGGGGCATGGGAAACAGAGCTGTTTTTTTCAGACATTAGGACTCCTGAATGCTGCTGTACTCCCTTCATCAAATAGTAAAATGGGGCCAAAACCAGTTTCTGTTGGCAATGTATCTTACTACTCAGAAGGCAGATAAGTGAATTACAGAGTTACCATGATTACTGTGGGAATTCTACAGGACAGATGCTTTCTATTTCTTGCTTAGTCTTTGTTTGTATCTCCATATCCGCCTGATTATTTTAGGTGACTTGCTTAAGATAATTAGTATTTTAAATGTCTTAGGAAGCAGCTTGGCAGAGTTCAAATAACTAGATAAGTGTTTTCCTCTTTCTTTTATGTTCTTTCCGGAGAGGGGTTCACTGTTGGACCTAGTCTAGAAGAGTGCATAGCTAGTGTTTAGTTCCTTTTAGAAGATCAGTCTGCTCTTTACTCTCAGTTACAATGGACGCCATGTTGGTTACATAAAATATACATTTTTCTAGTCATAGTTTGTTACCTACAGACAGCCTTTGTTGATTACGTGAACACCTAGAGCAACTGCTTAAATAGATCAACTTGTAGATTTAGGTTATACTGTTTAAAGTTATTTGTAATATTTATTTATGGCTAGATGAATGCAGTGAGACATTGGAATAACCAGTGTTTTCTTCCACTTTTGGAAGATCAGCAAAAAGGGGCTCTATTGGTTCTATGTGGCTTTGAATGCCATGAGCTCTTTCAGCATCCTTCAGAAAGTCATTGAGAGACTCAAGGGCTCAGACAGACAGAGCTCCAGGAAAGGAGCACCCAGCAAGGGCTTTTTCCCCTCTAAAAATCAGAGGACCCCAACTGTGTGTGGGCCTGGTTCATGGTGTCAGATTGTATGATGCTAACTCATTTTTTTCTTTTAGAGTAGGTAGACTGGATACCGTTCTGAAGTGGAGCTAGTAACAATATTCCTAGTCTTTGTGAAGGCTTTCATCAGGTGCCCTTTCTCTAGTTCACAGGGCTCATACAGGTGCAACAAGAAAATGGCCTGACCCACCAGACGTTTGGGGCCCTAGACAGTAATCTGAACAGGCCCAATTTATTCCTCCATTGTGAGTTGCAGGGGAGACAAATAAGTGGCTGCACTTGAGTTTGTCAGTCAAGAAAGCATTCCATTTATTTGTATTCCTCATAGCAGGATCAGCATCAGACTGAATAAGTGAGAGCAAAAAGTCCTATAGGAGTACATATGACCTTCCAGATGATCTGGGGACTGTAGTCATAGTCATCTTCATGCAGATCTTCTGGTTTGGCTTGGGTTGTGAGAGTAGCACAGTTACCAAGTCTTGATTAGAGTGCTGTTTGGGTGATTGCAACTGAAGCAACTTCAGGGAAAGAAACTTCATCCACCCAGTCAAGGATTACGTTTTGGACAAGGCATCCCTATAGGATGTGGTGGGAAGTTCATGCAAGAGTTGGCATGTGGCAGCTGGCATGTGGGCCTTTTTAAAAAAAAAATGTTTTTGTTGGCATTTAAGGAGAAGAGAATAGAAAATATGCTTTGGTGTGGTTTTCTGTTTCCAGTCTATCAGTTTAATATGGCTATAGATCCGTTAGTATAACTGCAGAGGTGGAATATTCACCCAGTCTTAGAGCTCTCAGTAAAATGTACTCTGTCATTATAAAACACAGTGAGCTAAATGAGGCGTACTTTTGACTGATTATCAAGTGTAAACCTTATTTTTCAAAGATGATCCTTTGGAATTACCTGATTGAAAGACCAGTTTAAGTTCTGCCAGCAGCCAAAACAACACCAATTCAATTCTATTTATCATGGCTAACTTACCCTCATCGTTTTTCTTTCACGGGATCAAGTCAGCAGAAGGAAGTTAGCAGGCTGAGGGCTGCCTTTTCTGGGGCAGTTGTGTTTTTAGAACTGGTGTTTGAATACTAATTATTGCTTTACCATTTTAGGGTATTCCCTGTCTGCATGTATAAGGTAGATGATTTTTCGATGAACTTGTATGGGTAGATACATTTTTTTCAGTTTTACAAAAAAATGCAGAGCTTGTGGGAGAGTCAAAGATTTCTCGCATTTGTACTAGAGTACAGAGTCCTCCATTGTGTCAGAGTAATTTACTGGAATCACAGCATAATTATTGTTTGTTTATTGATCTGCTTCATTTATGCCCAGTCCTCCCCCATGGTGTCCCAAAGCAGTTGACATTGTTTTCCTTTCCTTTGTTTTATCGTTCCACAACCCTGTGGGGTAGTTTAGGCTGAGAGTATGTGACTAGCCCAAGATCACCAGCAAACTTCCATGGTTGAGTGGGGATTCAAACCTGTATCTCCCAGATCCTAGTATGACACTGTAACCACTATACCACACTGGCTCTCACACACTGTGTTAATTATTATTTTTAAATGTAGATGCTATATACATTTTTAAAAACTACTTAATTACTTAGCTTCAAACTCTTGATAGCGCATGGAAAACAGATGGACAAGGCTTTGTGCTATATAGTTGATCGGTTTGTAATTGTTTATTGGAACCTGCTCTCTTACTTTCCATGGTTCTGATTGGCTGGCCTTTTACATTCAGTCCCGGTCATTACAGAATAAATATCACAGAGAATCAGCGGCTGACTTTCTGTTTTCAAAAAATTATATAGGAATATTTAAAAAAACCCTGTTGTTATGAATTCTGAACTCGAATGTTAATGCTGTTCATATTTGTAAACCCTTATTGGAGGTAAAAGAAGTGGCCAAAATAACTCAGACAAAACGGTTGGGGTTGGTTTACACATTATGCTTAATTAAAAAGCACTGTGTTTCAAGTAATATGAAGTATGTAAAGTATGCAAGTATGCAGATTACTACTCAATACCACAGTGATAAAATGTTGAACTTGCAAGTTTAGTCAGTATGCATAATACTACTCAGGGTTTTTCTAGATGCATAGATTGAGTAATTTAGTGGGAGAACTTTGCATGTTTTAAAACTTAAAATTCTAAGACAGCTTTGCAAGTTTTATTAACTCAGAGGGAAAAACAGGATGCATTTGGCTGTGTGAATATTTTGGGGAAGAAATGATTGTCGCTTGTATAAACATCCTGTTTTGTTGTGGAATAATTCTTGTCAATGCTCCAGTGCTCCATCTTTCATTCTTGTTTTCTTTTTCCTCAGGTGGACAACAGGTATGAAGCTCTTTGGGACACAAGGGAGAAAGTTATGTCATTTGGATTTGATTACTGCTATTGGTCAGTTGATCCTGAGGATCCCAAATATACATCCCAGGAAGTGGTAAGCGATAATCATGTCAACACTTCTTTTTTTGTAATTCCTTCCTGCTTTTGAGAGCATGAACATCTGTAAAGAGAAATGAATCTGTTTATAAAAGCATTAGCAGTTTCTGCACCTCATTTATGTAAACATTAATATTTTTTCCTGGTTCAGACCAGTAATACTTCCTTATCTACCCACCCCTTATGTTTCTAACCACACTTTCAGATGATTTAGATCAGCCTTATGTACTATGTCACCTCCATGTCACTGTATGACACAAGCCAGTTTGAACAAGATACTCAACTTATAGGAATCATTGCTAACTCTTGGGTCAGGACCTAATTACAAGGATTGTGGCGGTTCAAGGTGAGCACCTACAATTCAGTGCTCAGTAAAATATGAACTTCTACAAGCCTAATAGTGAAATTATTCTGTCTGACCTACAGAGTAAATGCTTGTGTTGAGAACTATACTAGAACACTGTAAGATTGCATAAATTCTAATTGGCATCAAAAGTCTCCAGTTCTAGATACTGCTGTGAATTTGGAGACATGTGATCATTTGTCATCTCTTTCATACCCAACTGGGAATGATAGCACATGGAGTTCACGCAGGGCTCTTTTTGTAGAAAAAGCCCAGCAGGAACTCATTAGCATAACACGCCACACCCAACAGCAGAAACTCATTAGCATATTAGGCCACACCCCTGACAGCACAGCTCATTAGCACATTAGGCCGCACCCCCATGTTACCAGAAGTGTGGTTATCCAGCCACACCCACCTTTTGCTTGTTATTCTGTTTACCTTGTTTGTTGTCAAAACCCAGGGCTTTTTTGTAGCAGGAACTCCTTTGCATGTTAGGCCACACACCCCTAATGTAGCCAATCCTAATGAGTTTCTGCTGTTGGGTGTGGCCTATTATGCTAATGAGTTCCTGCTGGGCGTGGCCAACTTGGGACCCAGCCGGAACTCCGTTCCTGTGCGTTCCTGCCCAAAAATAGCCCTGGAGTTCAGCACCAGTAGGCTTGCAGCCAATAAGTGCTGTCTAGAGCAGTTATTTTAAAAATTTTACATTCAAGGAATCCTTTCCATAGTGGCTTATCCCCTCCAAAAGCACCTGCAGTTCTGCTGCTGAAAAAAAAACATCAGCAGAAGATTCTAGAGATCTTCTAGGTTCCATACACAGTTTCTGTAGGGAGCAGGGCATGCCTGTTGGGCCATAGTGCTGTTTTGCATGAATTCAGAATGTTGCTTTGAGCATGTCCAACCAATATGCTTCTGGCACAACAAATTGCAAGGGAGACAAGGCTTTCTTTTAGGAAAGCATCACTGATCACTGATCATCGAGGGGTAATTTCCTGCAGGAGCGCACAGGAGCGGAGCTCCGGCAGTAAGGAGCCCAGGGGGCAGGCACATGCAACAAGCCCCACCCCCTGCTCCCAGCAGCCCTCAGTCAGAGCAAGAAGCAGCCAGGTAAGTTGCAGAGCCCCCCCTTCAGGTACAAGCTCTCCCCCCTCTGCGAGGACAGATCTGCACGTCCCCCCCCAATAGCTAGCAATCCAAAACAGTCCAGTGGAGCCTGAGTGGTGGGTGTTGCCTTCCGACACACTTCCAGTGATGTCAGGGTGTGTGGCATATGCAAATAAATTATGATAATAAGTTATGCTAATGAGCTCCTGCACCTCTTTTTCTATGAAATGACTCCTGCTGATCATCTTGTTGATGTGTGGATGGGTGAGGGGTATGTGTGTGATGAACTTCTGAGGAGCCCTCATGTGTCTGGATCACCATCTGAAAGTTGCTCCTCTGTGCATCTTTTGTAATATTTTAATAGCTAAGATCAGTATAATATCATATTATTGGGGCAGGTAACTGGAATTTAGAAGAGTGGTTCTTAATCTTTAATCTTTTTAATCTTCTTCTGAGATTAAACCCTATGAAATGCACAGTAATATCTTCAAATGCTCCTCCATCATCCTAAGTGAAAAAGTAGGACATAAACATTCCAGACAAGGCAACTTCATTTATGTTGGTATACTTATAATAAATAGATAGATGGATGCAATGCACAAATCTCAGGCATGCTGTCAATAAATTGAGGCCTAAGTGCAAAGTAGCTCAAGTGGAGCTCTGCTTGTGCAATAGGGCTTTTCTGTTCCTTTCCTGCCTTAGCCCTCTGTACCTGCCATGTAATGCTCCCGCGAATAGGCTGTCCTATTCTTGCATGAATAGAGGTACCTTCCATGTGATAGGGCATCTTTGGATCCAGTCCAGTAAATTGTTGTTCAGCATTCATCATCAAATGCATTGTGGATTCTTGACATTTCGCTAGTTAAAAGGCACTCTGTATTTATACTATCAATTAGTAACACAAACATATTAAATACAGTAACTAAAAGCTACCAAAAGTTATTGGTTATTTGTATTGTAGCGTATAAATTTCCAAATAAGAATTACCATTGTGTCTCTTCCTGTACAATTGTATAGTAGGAAACACCCCATACACCAAGCCATCTGGTTAACAGATCACATTATTTGCGTACACTTGTATTATTTTCCATTATGAAGCTTTGTTAGAACTTTTTGCACCCTGGGGACAGAAATGGATATTGAATCCAGGCATATAGTCAGTTAGTGCATGTGGGATTTTAAAACAAAGAGTTGTATAAATATTAGTCAAAGTTTCCAATTAAAGTGCTTTCACTCTGGTATGAATACTTTACTAAAATATCTATCTTCGAACATGTAGCTGTCTGTTATAAGTACAACTGTACTTATTGGCGGTAGAGAAAAATTAAAGAGAAATGAAAGGAAAGCACTGATCTGAGAAAGATAGCTTCAAGAAAAACAAACGATTAAAGATTAACTTGTTGACAGAGGCAATCTATGAGTTATGCTTTATTCCTCATGGCGTCAAAATTTCTGGAAATCTTATATCTCTACTCTCCCCAAAGTGTTTTGTAAGTGCCAGTGAGCTTGATGGAAGCTCTAGGCATTGGTGGTGAGCATAACTAGAAGATGACTAGAAAGCCAAGCCAGTATTTTTGGATTGCTGTCATTGGAAGACTGAGGTTATTTGGCAGTCTATGGTAGTATCTTGATATAAGATTAGTAGAAATTTCAAAACAAATTGGTCTGCATTTTTAGAAGTGCTTGAAACAGGAATTTAAAATGAGGTACTGGCAAGAATTAAGGATCTTGTATATATGGTATATATATATATATATATATATATAATGATGACATTGTTTTGGGAATTTAAATTTGTTTTTAAAATACATATTTGAGAAGAAATGGAGGAAGGAATTGTAGATATAAATGATATGTTTCTCATGAAATATTTACAAAGCTGTTAGCATATGACTGCTATCATTGTTTCCCTCATCTAGAAGGAAATAAAAAAGAGAGCAAGCTATAAGAAAAGGGGTTTTGTGTAATATTTGGATCAGTATATAATGGACTGCAGTACAGGGAAATCACCATGAGCATTTTAGTTATGTTACATCTCTTCTGCCAGCAACACAGCTGCTGCATTCAATAGGCATTTTAAAAGCTTGGATTTTAGAGGAATAAGGTCACTTTTTGGCATTAGCAAGTTTTCTTCCCCCTCCAGAGATGTTAAATCAGTAAGTATAAAGAATAAATCCTCTATTAAGATGAGATACTGTAGAGTGAGGAACAAAGATTCTTCCAAATGAAGATTCAGTTAGCTTTTAAACTGTATCTTACTAAAAGTAGTAAGACAAACTACCTTTTAACACAGGCTGATTTTGCACTAGAGCTGCCTCGATATTGTGCCGCCGTTTGCCCTGATACTATTGGTCAATTTCACACCCGAAGCTGCGGGGCTGCATTTTGACTCGCGGCTTCGCCCGATTTCCCCCACAGTTTCCTGATCCTGTTTTTTGAGGATCACGAAACTGTGGAGAAAATCGGGCGAAGCCGCAGGTCAAATGCAGCCCCCCGGCCTCGGGTGAAATTATTCAATAGTATCGGGGCAAACGGCGGCGCAACATCGAGGCAGCTCTAGTGCGAAATCAGCCACAGTGTCTGTTAGCTTCAGTTAAGCCATGAAGATCTGGCCATGTACAGTGATACTTAAGAATAATAGCTTGAAAACTAGTGGTCACCTATCATTAACTTTTGGGAAATATTTCTTAGTCATTGACTTTTTGGGAATATTTCTTAGTCATTGCCTTTTGAATTTGTATTCATTTATTTTAAAATAATCTACCTCTACTACCCTGCTCTTGCTTTCATGGCTAAGACTGGCACTGTTGCTCTGTCTGGGTTTTCCAGGATACACAAATATAATGACAAGAAGTACAAAAATACACAGAAGCAAGGTCTACAAACCAGTCCAGAATCGGATATGCAGTCCAATACACAGGGTAGGAGGGTCAAGGGTCCAGGGGTCCAGTTACAAGGTTTAGGAACAGGTGTAGGATACAGGGGTCTGGGTCCCAGGCTTCAGGAGCAAGCAGAGATGACTAGAGACAAGGTACAAAGCAGCAGGGTCAGCGTAGAACTCTGTTTGCTAAACAGGTCAGCACACAGAGGGGTGCCAAGCAAGGTTGCTTCCATGCCAAGCCTTGTTCAGTGTGTTCCTGTTATCTGCACCTTTTGCTGACTCATCCACTGAGGGCCAGATGTCACTCCTTACAGTTGCATTCACCTTCTTACAGGTGCAGGTCTTTTACTATTTCCCTATCAGCCTGTCAGTTTTGGTCCTAACACTCTCAGTTGCTGAGCAGCCAAGCATGAACTTCTTTGTCACTCCTGAGTCGCCAAGCACTTTCTTCTTCTTCTGTGCTCTACTGGCTCAGGAGAGGCTGGCGGGGAAACGACCTCTGGTGTTTCTTTCTTCTCCTGGAAGATCGAGCAGCCCAGCCGTGAAAGTGAAGTATTCTCGCTTCCCAGTGCTTCCCTCGTTGGGTCTGCTGCTGGATCTGTCTGTTCAGGTGGTGATTCTGTTGGTGTGGGGCCTGATTCTTCAGATTCCTCCAAGGAGGAGGTGG